ACATTTCTTATCAAGCATTGTTGCCTCCTCTTTGTTTCCCCTTCCCATCCCTTCCCATACTCCTCCCCACCCCACCCCACCAGGTCCTCCCCCACCCCCCATCAAAGTTGTAAAGTTCATTTTTTGACATAACAACTTGTACATCTCATTGTTGCAATGAGTCCACCTGTATCCCTAGTTAAACGCTTTGGTTTTTTCCCTTCACCTCCACAAATTATACAGTGAAAACATCGGTTATACTGTGGACGAGGGACATACAAAGCAACATAGAAATCATCCTATAAATATGTTAGAAACAATTGTCTTTTCTTTTTTGGTACTGGGGATCGATCCCAGGATGTTGCACTTGCTAGGCAAGCGCTTTGCCACTGAGCTACATCCCAGCCCCTTACTGGACTTTTCAACTTCATTTATCATTTATCAGCAGTCAATGCTGCTGATGAGATAGATACTTGCTGCTTGTGTCTTTTTGCTAAATGTATCTCCTGAATTTGAGAACATTATGTTAAATAGGTACTACTTAGAAAAAAGAATCAATTGCATTTCTGTATAATCACAATGAACAAAAAATAAAATTAAGACTACAACTCAATAAAATAACATACAGGGGGGCTGGGAAGGTGGCTCAGTGGTAGAGCGCTTGCCTTGCATGCATGAGGCCCTGGGTTCGATTCCCCAGCACCACATAAGCAAAAAGAAAAAAGCTGGAAGTGGCGCTGAGGCTCAAGTGGTAGAGTGCTAGCCTTGAGCTGAAGAGCTGAGGGACAGCGCCCAGGCCCAGAGTTCAGGCCCCACGACCGGACCCAAAAAAAAAAAAATAATAACATACAGGGGCTGGGAAGGTGGCTCAGTGGTAGAGCGCTTGCCTTGCATGCATGAGGCCCTGGGTTCGATTCCCCAGCACCACATAAGCAAAAAGAAAAAAAGCCGGAAGTGGCGCTGTGGCTCAAGTGGTAGAGCGCTAGCCTTGAGCTGAAGAGCTGAGGGACAGCGCCCAGGCCCAGAGTTCAGGCCTCACGACCAGAACCCCCCCCCTCAAAAATAATAATATATAAAATAATAAAACATTTATGAAAGAAATTAAAGAGAAGAAATAATGAAAAGACATTTGTTTGTGACCTGGAAGACTAAATGTTGTTAGATAGATATGTTACTCATAGTGACTGCCATTCAGAGCAATCTTTATTTTTATTTATTTATTTATTATTATTGTGAAAATACTGTACAAAGGGGTTACAATTACATGGGAAAGATAATGAGTACATTTCTTATCAAGCATTATTGCCTCCTCCTTTCTTTCCCATTCCCATCCCTATTTATTTATTTATTTTTGGGTCCGGTCATGGGGCCTGAATCTGGGCCTGGGCACTGTCCCTCAGCTCTTCAGCTCAAGGTTAGTTCTCTACCACTTGAGCCACAGCGCCACTTCCAGCTTTTTTTTTTGCTTATGTGGTGCTGAGGCATCGAACCCAGGGCCTCAGGCATGCAAGGCAAGCACTCTACCACTGAGCCACCTTCCCAGCCCACAGCAATCTTTATTTTTAAAAAAATCATTTTTCAGAAATAGGAAAAGTACACCCTAATGTTCATATGGAACAAAGAGCCCTGAATAGTGAAAACAAATATCTCAATTAGGAAACTTACTCATTGAAATTATAGCCAAAAATCTTCCAAAGCTAGGGAAAGATATGTTCATCCAAGTATAAGAGGCATTTAGAGCCCCAAATAGAAATGATTAAAAATGATCTCTCCATGTCCCATTATTTCACATATCTATACTAAGCTAGTAGTGAATTCTAGCAATGCATGGCTCGCTCAACCTGTGCAAATCAATAGATGTCAAAAATAGAATCAAAGGACAAGAATCATATGATCACCTCAATAGATACAGAAAAAAAGCTTTTGACAAAATTCAATATCACTCCATAATAATAGCCCCAAAGAAATTAGGAATTGCTAGATCTTACATCAACATACTAAAGGCTATCAATGATAAACCTATAGACATCATTATACTAACTGTGGGAAAATTGATAGCACTTCCTCTAAAATTTGAGGAAAGAGGGAGCCAATATGTCTTACCTCCCCTTACTGAATATAGTCTTAATTGTCCAGATCAATAAGAGGAAAGAAGCAAAAGGGATAGAAAGCCAGATATGGCTGCACATATGTATAATCTCATCTACTAAAGAGGTGGGGATCCAAAAATTAAAAGTTCGAAGCCTCGGCAAAAATTAGCAAGACCCTATCTCAACCAATAACTAGCATGATAATGTGCACCCATCATCCCAACTCCATGGGAAGCATAAATAGGACTTCAGCCTAAATAAATTCCTATCTCCAATCCTTTACAAACTTTTAAACAAAATAGACACTAACCTAAGATGTGAAAATTTGAAACTTCTAGGGGAAAACCTTCAAAGACATAGGCATAGACAATTACTCTATATATGACTGCAATAGCTCATAAAATAATAGCAAAAAAATCTAATAGAATGGTATTAAACTAAAAGGCTTCTGCACAGCAAAAAGAAACAGTGAACAGAATGAAGAAAGCCCACAAAATAAAAGAAAATCCTGGCAAGGACTAATATCCTTTGACAGGATATTACTATCCAGAGTACATTAAGAAAAATCTCATAATACTAAACACCAAAAGAACCGATAAGGTTCTATATGGTGGTTCACACCTATAATCCTAGCTACTTTGGTGGCTGAGAGTGGGAGGATTGCAGTTCAAAGGCAGCAGCCAGGTAGAAAAAAATTATTGAAACTCCATCTCAGCCAATAATAAACAAGGAAGGGCAATAGAAGGAGTGAATAGGATCAAAACATCTAATGTACATGATAGAAATGGCATTGTGTAGCCTCTTTCTTTTACAATTAATACAGAAAAACACAATTAAATATGCACGAATACTAAAACACTAAATAATATAAATAATTTCTGTGTTTGATGATTGAATTCTTTTTGCCAGTTCTGGGGTTTGAACTAAGGATGTGGGCACTGTCCCTGAGCTTCTTTTTGCTCAAGGCTAGCACACTGAACCACAGCACACTTCCAGCTTTTTCTGTGTATGTGGTACTGAGGAATCGAACCCAGGGCCTCATGCATGCTAGGCAAGTACTCTACTACTAAACCACATTCCCAGCCAGATGATTGGATTTGTAAGGGAAAAGTTACTGTACTCCAATATTCTTAAAGGGATGCTTCCTGGAGCCATTTTTGTTATTTAATAAAAATTATCCAACACTTATAACTGATGTTTAAATTTTTGAGTAGTTTCTAGTGTTGTCTTATTTTACCTTTTAAAAATGTCTTGTCAGGGGCTGGGAAGGTGGCTCAGTGGTTGAGTGCTTGCCTTGTATGCATGAGGCCCTGGGTTCGATTCCTCAGCATCACATAAGCAGGAAAAAAAAGCTAGAAATGGCGTTGTGGCTCAAGTGGTACAGTGCTAGCCTTGAGCTGAAGAGCTGAGGGACAGTGCCCAGGCCCAGAGTTCAGGCCCCAGGACTGGATGCCTCTCCCCCACAAAAAAGAAAAGAAACAAAATGTCTTGTCATAATGGATCTTCAAATCATGGATTAGGCACTGTTACTCAGTTTTTAAGCTCAAGGTTGGCTACTACTGGAACCACAGCTCCATTTCTGGCTTTTTGATGCTTCATTGGAAATAAGAACTTCAAACTGTGATCCTCAGATCTCAGCCTCCTGAGTAGGTAGGATTACAGGCATGAGTCATCAGTACTTGCTTATTTAACTTTTTTGAAGGGCAGAGAAAGGAGATTTATGACATGGTACAGGCACGCCATGATAATTTTAATGTTGTTTCTATAAGATACAAATAATATATATGATAAACTATTGTATGACAATATTTGGCATATTGTACATAATTATATACTTTATGATATATCATATAGAAGAAATACATATAAGATAAATGTAGATAATTAAGAAAGTTAAGACAAAGGTTGACACATGCTCATGAAATGCCTAGTTTTTAGAAATGGCTTTCTACTTTAGTTTTAAAGTCCCTAACAGTCACAGTAAGGAAGGCTGATTACATATTTCAATTTGTCCATATGATTAAAAACAATTACTCATGCCCTTAAAATAGACATGTTTTATAAAGTTCTTCCAATTATTACCTTTAAACTGTCTTAAAAAGAATATTGTAATATTCAATATATGTAATACTGATGTTTTGGTTTTGTTATTTGTTTTTTTTTGGGGGGGGGTCCGGTCATGGGGCCTGAACTCTGGGCCTGGGCACTGTCCCTCAGGTCTTCAGCTCAAGGCTAGTGCTCTACCACTTGAGCCATAGCGCCACTTCCGGCTTTTTTCTTTTTGCTTATTTGGTGCTGAGGAATCGAACCCAGATCTTCAGGCATGCAAGGCAAACGCTCTACCACTAAGCCACCTTCCCAGCCCTGTATTTTTTATTTGTGGATCCATGGCAGAATGAGAAAATAAAGATCCTTATCTAGCTTAATTAAATGGAAAAAATTCATATGTCTAGAAGAAATGATCGCATAATCACTAGTCTTTCAAAAGTATTCCTTATGACCGGTGCCCAGTTGCTCACATCTGTAACCCTAGCTATTCAGGAGGCTGAGATCTGAGGAGTGCAGTTCAAAGCCAGCCTGGGAAGCAAAGTCCATGGGATTCTTATCTCCAATAAACCACCAGAAAACCGGAAGTTGCACTGTGGCTCAAGTGGTAGAGCACTTGCCTTGAGCTGAAGAGCTGAGGGACAGCGCTCAGGCCCAGTAGTTCAAGCCTCATGGCCGAAAAAAAAGATAAATATTACTTATAATTATGTTTAAATACACTGTCTACAGGTGCCTAGAAGCACCCGGGTAACAGAATATACTATTATGTCTGTACCTTTAATGAAATGACTTTTTAGAACACTTTCTGAAAGTTCTAGAAGGCTCTCATACGTATATACCGGAAAACACTTTACGTTACCACGAGTCTTCATTCTTGCGTGGACCATGGCGAGTGGGGAGGGAGAGCCAACCAGTGTAGCTGAAAGTGATTTAACACCTTCCACCTCGATGGAAATCGAGGACAGAGAAACCCAAGTTCCTGACAACCATCCTACTGAGGCTGTTTGTGATAGCAGCACCGACGTAACAGGGGACAGAGTGCCCGAAGTTGCTGTGGAACATGGAGATCCAACTGATGCGGTTAGCAGCAGCGTGGAGGCTGAGAAAAAGACTACTCCAAGCGAAACACCAAACAAACCACCCAGCCAACCAACAAGCCGACCCGCAGGGAAAAGTCAGTGGTTATTTTTTTTATTCTAGCAGGCGGAGGTGGCCTCTGGGCAAAATGCAAGGCTTAAAGTGTTTTTCGATCGATGTCCTGTGAGGGATACTCATTCCTCAGCCACTTGGCTGGGAGGACTCGAGTGGATTACTAAGACTCTGGGCGCCATATTTATGTAGTGGGTTTTTGCATTGTAGGATTTTACATAGTGGGTTTGTGTGATAGTGGCGTTGTAGCAAAGAAATGAATCATCTGATCTAACTGATTTGGAGGAATAAGGAAATAGGCCGTTCTTGGTTGGGAAAAACCCTCTGGAGACCCAATGGTTGGCACGTTGTAGAAAGTGATGGGATAGAAAATGGTGGCTTTGCTCTCCAAGCATCCCTCTTCCCTCGGACGCCGCATGCTACACACCTTTGGCCTGTTTCGAGCCTTCCCGCCTCCTCTGAGGCAAACGATTTGCCGCCATCTTTGATTGGCCAGGAGTCATGGAAGGCTTCTTTCAGTTGGCTCTGAGTAGGGAGTGTGCGGAGGGGCCAAGCAATATTGCTGCTCTAATCCGTTGCTGTCCTGTGCAAGCATAGCTCATAGGCCACAACCCTCCCCGTTGAGAAGGACCTGAGGCCCCACAGCCCTTAAGATAATGGCACACATGCCAGTGACTGTTTAGTCAGCGGAGGGTTGGTTGTTATTGTTGTTGGTTGTTTTTTCGGTTTGTTTTTCTTTTGCCAGTCCTTCGGCTTGAATTCAGTGCCTGGACACCGTCCCGAAGCATTTATTGCTCAAGGCTTATGCTCTACGACTTGAGCCACAGCCCAACTCCAGCTTTTTAGTGGTCAATTGCAGATAGTAGTCTGGTGGACTTTCCTGCTTGAATAGCTTTGAATGGCGATCCTCAGATCTCAGCCTTCTGGGTAGCAAGGGTTACAGGTGTGAACCACTGGTGGCACCTGGCTGGGTGTTTTTTTTTCAGAAAGAGGGAGCTCAATATCATGCACACTACACCCCGCTGGCTGCAGCCGGAATGGATGACTGGACGGGAGAGGGACCAAAATTGAGGGCAGTTGGTTCTGTGGAAGGTTTGCAAGGAAATGGAATAAACCTAAGAACTAAACTTCTCTTCCAAGCTGAGGCCAGGGAGACAAGCCAAGATACTTGCACTTGCAAAGGAACGTGTGGCTGTGCATACTGCAGCCACTTTATGTCACTTGTGATTCTGCTCACATGAAATGCAGCTACTGAGAGAACAGTGAAGGTGTATGAGAAGTCCTGTTAATTAGGTATCAGAGTGCTTTCTGGGGAAAAGTGGATGCATTCAGTTTGTTAAATACCATGCAGTCCTTAGATAAATGTAGGTTAATAATTTTAAAAATAAAATCATTTCAACTTCACTTTCCAATCTTTCTCCCACTAGACCTTATAAAAGTGATTTACAAAGGACTAGTTTGAAATCCTTTCAGTTCTTAAATTATTTCTTCCACAAAGAAGACTTTCCCCCCAAATTAGTGAAATGAATGAAATGCCTAGTCTTAACTCTGCTGAGAAACCTAAAAGTTTCTACTGATGGACTCCTTTAAATTTGAGTCTCTACTCCTAATCTTAAGTAGTCCCTACTCTCTCCCCTTCAGGCAATGTGCACAGCCCTAAGATTCTGTATTTTGTTTACGTTATTTTAATGAACCTCTTTCTTACATATACTTTTCATTGTTATAACTATACTAGTGTGTGAACATATATTTTATAAGCCCAAAATAGTACTACCACAAATAATGCATCACCTTTCCCCACCAAGGTTGTCTACTTTTACACTGCTGACACTTTTGTTCTTTTTTTTTTTGTCTGTTGTGGGGCTTGAACTCTGGGCCTGGGCACTGTCCCTCAGCTTTTCAGCTCAAGGCAAGTGCTCTACCACTGGAGTCACAGTGCCACTTCCGGTTTTCTGGTGGTTTATTGGAGATAAGAATCCCATGGACTTTGCTTCCCAGGCTGGCTTTGAACTGCACTCCTCAGATCTCAGCCTCCTGAATAGCTAGGAATCCAGGCATGAGCCATTGGTGCCCAGCAACACTTCTGTTCTTCCTATGTGTTTCTGAGGTTTCTAAAATTCCACTAAAGAAAGGATTTAAACAATAACCAATGTTTTTACACCAATCGGGATCCAGACTCACGTGTATGTGTTAAGAGAAGATTCCTGTGCTTTTAAGATTAAGATTCAGAACTCACATCCCAGTTAATATGAATTAAGGTATATTTGTAATATAGAATATTAGAGCTGTGAATTAACTGGAACTTATCCTTCAAATTAAGATATTAGACTTTATAACTTTGTACATAGTGTTCTTAGAGCATAACAAAGTTTCTTAGGTTCCATACATGTAGATTGTTTTCTTCTACTTTGGTAAAAAATTTTCCTTAGAAGTGTGGGCTATACTACTCAAAATACAAGTTACTACAGATAAATATTAAATAGATGGAAAAAAAGATTATAAATAGCCAGGTGCCACCAGCTCATGCTTCTGTAGTCCTAGCTACTCAGGAGGCTAAGATTTGAAGATTTTGGTTCAAAGCCAGCCCAAGCAGGAAGGTCTATGAGACTCATCTCCAATTAATCACCAAAAAGCTGGAAGTGGAGCTGTAGCTCAAGCAGTAGAGAACCAGCCTTGAATGAAAGAGCTAAGGGACAGTTTGAGGGCCTGGGTCCAAGCCTCCATCTGTACCAAAGAAAGAGAACTGGACTGTTTTTCCAAGGTAACTCTGAGCCATTGAAGCTAGCTCTAGTATGGTGAAAAACTGTCTGCTATCACTTGGACTGATTAGTTCCTATTGTCCTAAAAGGTCACTGGAGTACAGAAAAACAAGCCTCCGTTTATGTCAAAACATACATAATGTTCTGGCAAGTGGTTTGAGGGTTGTTTTCAGCCTTTGGTTTTCATTCTTTCCTTTTTCTTAGAGTTCATTTAATTTGCTTAAGTAGCTATCACTGTATGGTTGATTTTTACTTTTTAGGAGTCAAAGAATATTTTTAAGATGGCTAACTCATGTTTCTAACAGCTTACCTTATTCTTCAGATTATTACATCATAACATTTTGCATTGACTTTGGAAAAACTCTGCCTATTAGAAGGTTGATAAGTGACTTTAGAGGTTTGGAGGTGTGCTTCAAGTGGTAAAGTACTTGCTTTGCAAACATAAATGACTTTAGGAACAATTAAAACATCACATAAGATATTGGACCTTGGCCAAGGTCTTGTATAATTTAACCAGTGACTACTAGAAGTGATCAGCAGAATGAGCAAAAGCAGTTTTAAGTGACTTTCTGTCAATTTATTTTCCATGACCTCAAAAACAAGAGACCGGTAGAAGCGTGACCGAACCTCCCTATGAACTTGAGAACCATTTTATAATGCGTCTGCCTATGGTAAGAAACCTTTCCATCTCAAAGCCAATATCCCCTTTACAAAAGGGTAGTTCTGTTTGGATTCAGTAACATTATTTCAAGCCATAGAAACTCAGAATAAACCTGGGCACTGATGGCTCACATCTGATATCCTAGCTACTCAGGAGGCTGAGATCTGAGAATTGTGGCTCAAAGCCACAGGCAGGAAAGTCTTTGAGACTCATCTCCAGTTAACCATTAGAAAAATGGAAGTGGAAATTTGGTTCAAAGTGGTACAGTGCTAGCCTTGAGCAAAAGAGCTAAGCGACAGTGCTCATGGCCCCAAGTTCAATCCCCACAACTGACTAATACAAAAATCCAAAACAAAATACTTTGTTTCACAGGGAATATTTTCTGTTGATAACCATAATTCTAGTGTGTACACTTCTAGGAGCATTTCTTCCTTTCTGTATGTACCACCTATACCATAGGTTGATTTCCTGGCAGCACATCTGTGATAATGATTAAACCATTCACTTATCACAGACACAGCCTATTCCCTGAGCAGCCAAGATAAAATTATTGTCAATTTTTACCTTCCACCTCAGAAGGGAAAGTTAGACCAGCACTGTCTTCTGCAAATTCATTACCATGCAAGGCTGTCAGAGCTCATCTAAACATTGTGTTTAAATCTTTTCCCCTACTAAGACCAATATTCAAGCATTATTTAGTTGAGGGACATATGTTAAGGATGGTTTCAGAAAGCTATTTCTCCATTTAAAGTTAATGTATTCAGTAACATAGCTGTGAGAAGTAGTTGGGACAACCATGAAATTAGAGTTGGTCTTATCCTTACTTGTATGGTGTATGATTTCTTGTATATAGCACTGTTGTTAACATTTGGGAGATGTAAGGTTTTATTTAAGACATGAATGTGTTTCTTTAATATGTTTGTTCTAGCTCCCAATTAGGCAATTGATTATGATTTTTCAATTTACCTCACTTTTAGGAACATGCTTGTACTGTTAGGAACCTAATACATTCCAGAAGTGTCCCTATGAGGAATAAACTGAAAATTGACTTACATTGTAAGTAGATAATAAATTAAAAAACAATTTATTAAAAGATTGTTGCATGCCAGACACTGTACTAGATACTAAAAATATGAAAAAGAACATGATCTCTGTTTTGAAGGATTCACTGTTTAAAGAAACTTTATTCAGGGGCTGGGAAGGTGGCTCAGTGGTAGAGCGCTTGCCTTGCATGCATGAGGCCCTGGGTTTGATTCCTCAGCACCACATAAGTAAAAAGAAAAAAGCCGGAAGTGGTGCTGTGGCTCAGTGGTAGAGCACTAGCCTTGAGCTGAAGAGCTGAGGGACAGCGCCCAGGCCCAGGGTTCAGGCCCCACGACCGGACCCCCCCCCAAAAAAGAAACTTTATTCACTCAATGACTCACTTTTTTAAAAGAGAAAGAAAGACCTATGCAACTTGTAGTGTTTTTAGGGATGATCTTGGGGATCATTTGTGGTTATCTCATACAGCTGGTAATCTATATTCAAGCTATATTCTTTATGATTTCTGAATGTCGAAGTGAATGACAAATATGCTAGTCTTTGTAAAAGAATAGAACTTTCTTTTAAAATATTTTTATATTTGCAAATCATATATATGATAAATAGCTAATACCCAAAATATATAAGTAACAGCTCAATAGCAAGAAAACAAATAACAATGAAAATAGGCAGAGGACCTGAACATATTTCTCAAGGAAAGAGTTGTTTCTTGTCATAGAAGCTCATGCATTTTGCGTAGGACTAGCCTTGGAGCATAATCCTTCTACCTATATTACCTACATAGCCATGAATATAATGTTAACCACATACCTGTCTTGCTTCTTGAAATGGAGGTCTCACTAATTTTTTTTTCTCTAAGCTACTCTTGAAATCCTCCCAATTTCTGCCTTCTTAGAAGTCTCAATTTTAAAATTGAGCTGCTGTAGTTAAATACTGAGCATTCTTTCTGTGCCAATCCTGGGGCTTGAAAACAAGGTCTGGGCATGTCTGTTTTTGCTCAAGGCTAGCACTCTACCACTTGAGCCACAGTGCCAGTTCCAGCCTTTTATGTGTATGGGGTACTGAGGAGTCGAACCCAGGGTGTCATGCATGCTAGACAAGCACTCTACCACTAAGCCACCTTCCCAGCCCTGTGCATTCTTAATACTTGCATATGAAATGTATATACAAGGAAAAGAAATAACATTGTACTTTATAAGCACTGTAGTATAAGTGGAAAATACAATGTCTGCCGAAACATTCTATCTTGCATAATATTCTCCTGAATAATCTTGTGCTGAAAAATATACCTGTTTGTGATATGTGAACAGGCTTCAGAGTTCATTGTGTGTCTGGCTGTTGGATAGAGTTTAATCATTATATAGCTAACTAGGGTTTTTTTTTAACTTGAAACTTATTTAGCACCATTTCTGGACCATTCCTTCTCTCATCCAACCTTTGAAAATGTACATCTACAATGACAAAATTGAATGTTTGTTAAAATGAACATATTTAAGTGAATGGAATTTTCTTTTTTTTAATCTTTTTTTAAATCTTTTTTTCTTTTTTTTTGGGGGGGGGGGTTCCGGTCGTGGGGCCTGAACTTTGGGCCTGGGCACTGTCCCTCAGCTCTTCAGCTCAAGGTTAGTGCTCTACTACTTGAGCCTCAGCGCCACTTCCGGCTTTTTTCTTTTTGCTTATGTGGTGCTAAGGAATCGAACCCAGGGCCTCATGCATGCAAGGCAAGTGCTCTACCCCTGAGCCACCTTCCCAGCCCCTATTTTTTCTCTTTCTTTTTTTCTTTCTTTTTGTTTTTGTTTTATGATGAGCCTGGGGCTTGAATCCAGGGCCAGGGCGCAATGTCTGAGACTTTTTGCTCAAATCTAGTGGTCTACCATTTGAATCACACAGATCCACTTCCAGCTTTTCAGTGCTTAATTGGAGACAAGAGCCTTGTAGAATTTTTTGCCCAGGCTGTTTTCTGTGTTCTTCACATCTCAGCTTCTTAAGTAGGTGGGATTATAAGCATGGGCTACTGGCTGCCAGTTGGGAGTTTTCTTTTCAGCATAAAAATGAAACAGTTCTTGTTTTGTCCACATTTAACTAAAAAACAAAATCGTAACTACTTTTGAGCAAGTGACATAAACTGGAGGTGGGGTGGGGTGGGGAGAGCTCCAAATACTCTTTCTTCTTTTGTCTGGAAGTTACTTACTTCTGTCATCATAAGAAATAGCAGGTTTCACCAAAAAACTATTCTGCCCATCCTAACTCTTCATTATTATGGAGCTTAATAAGTCATTGAGAAAATGTTGTTTTTTCTTTTCTACTTTGTTTTAGCTGATGGACGTCATGGGATTGTTCAGATAGAAAATGTCCGACTATCTGCTAAAATGGTTGATTTGCCTTGTGTTATTGGAAGCTTGAAAACTCTTGATAAGAAAAGCTTTTATCAAACGGGGGATATTTCCCAGGTATGGACAGTTTTGGTTTTTAAAAAAATCTTCTTGTGCTAGTTTCCACAACAGTTTCCAAGGCGACAGATGATGAGATGCCTATGCAGTGATATCTCAGAATATTGCTTATTAAATAATATTCCAATTACCACCATAGAGAGAGGAATGATTTTAACTGACAGAGATGACTAGGCTGGTGTTATTACCCTCAAGCTCTGCTATTGTAGGTTCAAATTCTCCCAGGGAAAACTTAAGGAGGTTACAGTTACATTCCAAGGGTAGATGACAGAAAATCAGGAAGCACTTAAGCAGTTTTGGAAAAGGATACAGGAATTTCCTCACTAAGATAAGTACATACAAGGACTGCTGTCTTTTGACAGTAATTAATGCAAAAGGTCAAACATTCATAAAAATCCATTCAGCCCAGGGACAGTGGTTTTCCACTGGTATTTTTCATACTTCAAGTACACTGTCAAATATACTGCAATGAGGCATAGTTTCCATTCGACTCTAGTGTTCCCACATTCTTGCTCTCACATCCTTCAAGCAATTCCTTTTATTTTCCTTCCTTTCAGTATTCCTTTTCACTTGATGAATGGCTGCTGCCATTCCTAATTTCTAGATAGTTTGTGCAGGAATACAATATCATAATTCTCGTTCAATGTTTGATGCTTAAGTTTTCACTACCCTATTTAATCCAAATAACTTGCAGAACCCTCTTTTGCCATCTATAGTGAATTCAATTAATTAAAAAACGAGCAACATCTAGTTATTCTGAACTTTCTGCTAATATAGTATGTTAACTTTGGAGGTTTAAGTTGGCCCATATTCATCATCTCTGCAAGTCTTTCCGATTTCCTCCCTAAATCAAAATGCTAAAATATATGTGTTTTCAACATATTCCTTCTGCACTAATAAATACTGTAAATAAAAAAAATCAGCTTTTTGGGGCTGGGAAGGTGGCTCAGTGGTAGAGCGCTTGCCTTGCATACATGAGGCCCTGGGTTCCATTCCTCAGCACCACATAAGCAAAAAGAAAAAAGCCGGAAGTGGCGCTGTGGCTCAAGTGGTAGAGTGTTAGCCTTGAGCTGAAGAGCTGAGGGACAGCGCCTAGGCCCAGAGTTCAGGCCCCACGACCGGACCCCCCCCCCAATCAGCTTTTTATCACAATACTGCTAGAAGAGAAGAGAAAGGGGAGAGGATGAGAGAAGAAAATGAAGAGAGAGATAAACAGGGAGAGAGGTGAGAAGAAGGAATACATATCACATAATACTTGGACTTCCTAGAAATATCAAGCATCACTCTTTTTTGTGGTTCAGGATTTTTGGTAGTAATTATTACTAATCCAAGATTTAGGACCACAGTTAACTTCTTTCTCTTCGTGAAATGTAGATGCTTGTGTGCAATGATGGTGGTGTCCAGCCATCTCCAGAGGAAGCAGTTACTTCCACCAACCATAGCATGACTGGGACTAATAATGAGGAAAAAAAGAAAAAATATGCCTGGAAACATGGTAGTAAGTTACTAAATCTTGTTCATCTTGTTCATTCTAGGTGACTACATGTATTTAGTGAGTCCTAATTCCCTGTGAATCAAATACCTCTTGCCTGCTTCATTAGGCTCTCAGACACTTGCTATGAAAGGAGTTATATCATAACCTGTTTATCAAATTCAGAGATATTTGACCACTATTGTTCATGTATATGTTTCACACTGTTGTGTTTCTTTTAGTTGCGGCACCACTTAAGAATGTCAGAAAGAGAAGGTTCCGAAAAGTCAAAAAAAAGGTTAGTCTTGTGCTATTTGTATATCTGTGGGTAAATTAGAAGATGATTCTGATTGAGGAGTAAAGGCAGGAAGTCAGTTGGGAGTTAATTTGTTCATTTGTTTATATATTCAGTAAACAACTCCAACACTGTATGTTAGCAGTTGTGAATATCTGATGTCTGATATTATAGGATAATTAGGGATCTGGAGCTCATGCTTTTAGTTTTTGGTTATAAGATTTAGCTTTAAAATTAACATGTCTAGAATGTGAGAACTGGGACCTGTGTTTATATTCCTAACCTTACTTCAGGCTGGTAAGAACTTGGGCAGGCTATGGGAGTATTATGAGTCTTCTTTCTTTACTGAATTTTTTATTTTGTAGCAATTATAAGAAATGACAGAGAGATGTCATGTACTTTTTTCTTTGGTTTCCCATTGTAACATTTTGTAAGACTATAATACAATATTATAAACAGGTATTTGACATTGTTGAAAGTCATCAATCTTATTCAAATTTCTCATTTATGTGTACACAAGTATGTGTATAGTTCTGTGCAGATTGTGTGTGTGTGTGTGTGTGTGTTTACACACACACATGCATGTGCCAGTACTAAGACTTAAACTCAGGCTCTGGGTGCTGTCTCCTAGCTTTTTTACTCAAGGCTGGCACTCTACCACTTGAGCCACAGCTCCATATCAGCTTTTTGGTGGTTAATTGGAGATAAGAGTCTTAGGGACTTTCTGTCTAGGCTGGCTTCAAATTATCCTCCTCCTATCTCGGACTTCTGAATAACTAGAATAAAGGTGTGAGCCACTGGCACATGGCAGTTCTGGGCAGCTTTATCCCATGTGTAGATTCATATGCGCATACTCAGTTAAGGCAATAAACAATTCCATTACCACAGTATCTCTTGTCTTGTCCTTAAATAATTATACTTACCTCCTTCCTACCTTACACCTCTGGTTCTTAGTACCTGGCATACTAATCATTTTTTTAATGATTTTTTTTGGGGGGGTGGCTGTGGGGCCTGAACTCTGGGCCTGGGAGCTGTCTCTCAGCTCTTCAGTTCAAGGCTAGCACTCTACCACTTGAGCCACAGTGCCACTTCCAGCTTTTTCTGTTATGTGGTGCTGAGGAATCAAACCCAGGGCCTCATGCATGAAAGGCAAGCACTCTACCACTGAGCCACCTTCCCAGCCCTAATCATTCTTCATCTCTGTAGGTTTTCCATTTTTAGAATGTCACATAAATTAAATAATATAGTATATAACATCTGATAGTAGCTTTTTCTCCACTCAGAAAAATTCTCTATATATCCATGCAAGTTTTTGTATTTATCAGTACTTTTTTCTATTTGTCAATATTGCTTTTTTATTAATAAGCATTCCATGGTATGAAATTATTAGTTTGTTTAGCTGTCTACTCATTAAAGGACATCTGAGCTGTTTTCAGTTTTTGACTAGTATAAATAAAAATACAAATAGGTATTTGTACGAACAAAAGCCTTCATTTCTCTGGGATAAATGCCCAGGTATTACTGAGTTATATGATAGTTGCATGTTTAGTTTTAAAACTGCCATGCTGTTTTTTTTGTTTTTGTTTTTTTTTGGTTGGTCATGGGGCCTGAAATCTGGGCCTGAGTGCTGTCCCTAAGCTCTTCAGCTCAAGGCTAGCACTGTACCACTTGAGCCACAGCGCCACTTCCAGCTTTTTCTGCTTATGTGGTGCTGAGGAATCAAACCCAGGGCCTCATGCTTGCGAGACAAGCACTCTACCACTGAGCCACCTTCCCAGCCCCTGCCATGCTGTTTTTGTAGGAATTCTTTATCTACTATTTTATATTCCTGACAGTTGTATGTGAGTGGCCCGTGTTCTCCACCAGCATTAGGTGTTATCACTATTTTTTAATCTTAGCCATTCTGATGGCTATGGTGATCTCATTGTTGTATTAATGTGCATTTCTCTGAAAATGACATTGAAGATCAAATGTGCTTATTGTCCATCTTTATATACACTTCAGTGAAGTATCTGTTCATGCCTTTTGACCATTTTCTAAATTGATATTTTATTGTTGGGTTTTAAGAATTCTTTTCATTTTCTGTATCACAGTCTTTTGTTAAATGTATAGTTTTCAAATGCCTTTTCCCAGTTTCTAGAGTGTCTTTTTATCCTCTTCATAGGATATTTTAGAAGGAACATTGTTTTTAGTTTTGATGAGGTCCAATTTGTTACTTTTTTCTTTTAAGGGTCTTTCTCTTTTGTGTTATGTTTAACAGCACTTTACTTTGGGGAGATCCTGAAGATTTTTTTTGATGTATTTTTTGTTTTAATTTCATATTTAAGACTGAAGCTGGCTTCTTAAATTTTATGAAGTACGAGTTTTTCTGGGAACCAGTGGCTCACACCTGTAATTCTAGCTACTCAAGAGGCTGATATTTGAGAATCACAGTTTGAAGCCAGCCTGGTCAGGAAAGTCCATGAGATTCTTATTTTCAATTAACCACTAAAAAGTCAGAGTGTCTCTATGGCTCAAGTGGCAGAGTGCCAGCCTTGAACAAAAAAGCTAAGTGAGGGCTGGAAAGGTGGCTCAGTGGTAGGGTGCTTGCCTTGCATGCATGAGGCCATGGATTCAATTCTTCAGCACCACATAAGCAGAAAAAGCCAGAGTGGCACTGTGGCTCAACTGGTAGAGTGCTAGCCTTGAGCTGAAGAGCTGAGGGACAGCACGTAGGTCCAGAGTTCAGGCCCAATGACCGACAAAAAAGTAAAAAAAAAAAAAAAAAGCTAAGTGATAGTGCCCAGGCCCTGAGTTCAAGCCCCAGTACCAACACCAAAAATAAAAGGTATTAGTTTTAAAGGTTCATTTTCTGCTTGAGCATGTCCAAGTGCTCTAGTATCATTTGTTATCCTTCTTCTGATATATTGTTTTATAATGTTGCCAAAATCAGTTTGGTATATCTGTGAATGTCTGCTTCTGGTCTTTTTATTCTGGCCCACTGATCAATGTATGACTCTCTCCACTGATGTGATAGGTCTTAAAAGCAGAAAATTGTTTGCTTCTACTTCATTTTTCTTTTTCAAGATTGTTGTAGCAATTTTAGAGCTTATACTTTCCATAAAAATTTTAGAATTAACTTGTCTCTGGCTGTAAATACATGCTGGAATTTAAAATAAGAATATTTTAATGTAATTCAAGTTATAGACCAAATTGGGGAGAGTTGACATCTTTATTATGTTTTTTTTTTCCCGGCCAATATGTTGCTTTGGTTTCATACTGTTATTAGGTGCCTACTAAATATAAAAATAAGTATAGTTGTAGAGATCTTTAAACATTTAGTAATAGTAATAGTAATAGTTTAGTAACTATACCAATTGTAATATAACTTCAGTATTTGCTGTGTTTATTTCATAGGTCCCTGATGCCAAGTCAGCTGAAGAAATGAGCTTTTTTGAGGTAAAGCAATCACAATGTAACTGCATTGCTTAAATTTAGTGTTTTATTTGTTAGCTCACTAGTTTTAAACAAATCAAATGAATTACAAACTTTTTAGAACCTTCTATCTTACCTCTAGCCCTTGCTCAGGGTGTGTGTATGTCAAAAATACATAGCCTGGATTTTCACTGAGAAGTGCATTTGTTATTTAGTGTCCAAAATCTCCCAGAGAAAAAGATACCATTTAGCCAATGGTCTTGATTTTTTTCTCTAATTTATTTTCAAAGCCTTTCCTTGGAGGCTAAGGTCCACTTTTACTAGTAGTTGTTTGCAATGGCTTATAGCTACATAATCTCAATTTTTATCTGTAGAATGATGAACTGATTGCTGTAGAGACAATTGTTTAAAAATAAATTCAAGGGGCTGGGAAGGTGGCCCTGGGTTCAATTCCTCAGTACCACATAAGCAGAAAAAGCCAAAAGTGGTGCTATGGCTCAAGTGGTAGAGCGCTAGCTTTGAGCTGAAGAGCTGAGGGACAGAGCCCAGGCCCAGAGTTCAAGCCCCACAACTGACCAAAAAAAAGTAGATTCAAGAGAAAACACCTACCTAAGATCCAGTTTTTGTAGGAATGTCTCTCCCAATTAAAGATTTAGGGAAGTAGCTCTGAGATTCAGACTAAAAAGATCAAATGTCTCATGATTTAATTGGAGAAAATAAGTTTATTAAACAAAAATATAAGCCATGTTGAAGGATTCTTTCATAAGTAGCACTCTGTTAAGTAGAAATTTTAAGGCTGGGTGCTAGTGGCTCACGCCTGTAATCCTAGCTACTGGGGAGGCTGAGATCTGAGGATCATTGGGTCAAAGCCATCCTGGGCAGGAAAAGCCACGAGAATATTTTTTGGTCGGTCATGGGGCTTGAACTCTGGGCTTGGGTGCTATCCCTGTGCTCTTCAGCTCAGGGCTAGTGCTCTACCGCTTGAGCCACAGTGCCACTTCTGGTTTTCTAGTGGTTTATTGGAGATAAGAGTCTCACGGACTTTCTTGCCTCGGCTGGCTTTGGACCGCTATCCTCAGATCTCAGTCTCCTGAGTAGCTAGGATTACAGGTGTGAGCCACCAGCGCCCGGCTCCAGGAGACTTTTATTTCCAATAAACTACTCAGAAAAAGACAGAAGTGGCACTGTGGCTCAAGTAGTAGAATGCTAGCACAAAGGAGGCTCAGGGACCATGCCCAGGCCCCGAGTTCAAGTCCCAGGACCGGCAAAAAAAAAAGTAAAGCAGGAAGGTACAGTTCTGAGTTCAAGCCCCAGTACTGGTGAGCAAGAGCGCACACACACACACACACACACACACACACACAGTAAAACTGGTGGTTGGATAGGTATCTAAAAAGGCTAAATTTTAAATTGAATTCATTGGTTTATAGGAACTGGGTACTTCTCCAAAAAACAAGGGGTTAAATGACAGTAGTAGTAGTTCCTCCCAAACCCTGCTTCAGTTCATTGACTCTCCAGAAGTGGAAAAGGAAGTGAAGAGACTGCTCTTTTCAGATGCTGAAGCCATCAACATACGTATCCTTTATATCAAATATTTTCCCTATGGTCTGTTCCACCCAATATGAATATGACAATAAATTTATGGATTTTTTTTTTTGCAGGCTGAAGATCAAACTCAGGACCTTGCTAAAGCAAGCTTTCTACCACTGAGTGACATTCTCAGCCTTCACTTCTGTTATTTGTGTGATAGTTTTGATGTGCAGAGAACTTAGGAATTTTAGAAATATTACTTTTTTATACCAGTACCAGGGCTTGAAATCATGGTCTCATGCTTTTTCCACTTGCTTGTTCATAGCTAACATAGCTTCCAGTCTAGACTTTTACTCATTAATTGGGGATGGAGTCTGGCAGACTTTTCTGCCTGGGCTGGCTTCAAAACTTGATCCTCCAGATTTCAGCTTCCCAAGAGGCTAAACTAACATAAATACCTGTTATGGAAATGTATTTACTTGTTTAATTCATTATAAGGCATTTTGCCACTGTAGGAATATGGATAAAAGTGGCCTAGAGAGGTGTTGTGGCTCAAGTGGTAGGGTGCTAGACTTGAGCTGAAGAGCTCAGAAACAGTGCCCAGGCCCAGAGTTCAAGCCCTACCACTAACAAAGAAAAGTGGCCTAAATTTGAACTCCATTTTTAGTGGAAGAACCTTTACCTTTTAGCTGTGCCCTCTCTTTTCCTTCTGCTTGTTCCTTGACTGCTCCTCCTTTTAGGATGGGAAGTTGTTGCTGATGAGGAAAACAAGGAAACAGAATTTCAAAGATGCCTTTCAGACTCTCCAGTATCTCCAGGAACTGGTGACTATAAGGAGAATTATAGCTTATCAGGTATTTTAGTAAAAGCAGAACTGGTACTTCAGGTAGGCCAAATGCTAACCTATGTATGAGGTGATTCTCTGTAGATTCACAGGATAAATCAAGAAAAGGATGATTTTACCTTTCTCGCCTGTTATTGGTCCTCCAGTTGGAATTCTAATTTCCCTTTCATCCTAGGTATTAAATTTCCTATGGACCCTTAGATTCTCTAAATACCTTGAGATATTTGCTCTGTATTTCCTGACATTGTTTCACGAAGGGAATAACTTTCCTGTTAGAAAATTGATGCATAAAATTTACTGGTTGCCTAGTGAGTTTGAGGGTAAGGAGTAATTTTATCTGGGGTGGGAGTCATTTGCAAAGCTTCAGGTAATTTCAACTTCTTGCTCAAAATCAATAGAATATGAGAGACTGCGGAAGATGTTCAGTGATTCTAGCAGTAGCAGTGAAGATGATGATAAATGTAACAAAGATGAAGGAGATGATGATGATGAACTCATAGAGGTGGAAGAAGAGGAAGATGATGGTTTTGAAGAGGATCAAGAAAGGATACTACGAGCCAGAATTCTCGAAGTCAGGAAGTGTGAAAGAATAGAAGATACCTGTGAGCTAGGTAAGTCAGCGGAAAAGACAAAGGTATTTCATGAGATGGGTAGCAGAGCTAAACACTAACTCCTGATATGCAAGGTACAAGACTAAGTTTGAAGAGTTCTTAATCAGAACTTGATTTGGATCTTTGTTCAGTAGTTTAGGCTGTATGAAGTTACATAAAAGTCTTTATCTTTGTTAGTTTTGGAACTTCAGAAGCAGATTTATTTTAAGGAGAAAAAACTGCAAAGGATTCAGAACAAAGCAGAAAGACAGAAGACGATCATCAGGAAAGTGGATAACCTACCCCTAAAGGTAAGTCCTCTTATTGACTAGCATTGACAACATCCTCATATCTCATCTTTGTGTTTCCACTCTTGTCATCTTTATGGAGTGTTCTTGTACATTCAAGAAACTAAACAACCTCTTAGAAGACTCCAATAAAGAATTATTGTAGAGCCCCAGGCTCAGGTGTCTCATGCTTGTAATCATAGCTACTCAGGAGGCTGAGATCTGAGGATCGCAGTTCAAAGCCAGCCCCGCACAAAAATCTTTGAGACTCTTATCTCTAATTAACCCTCAGGAAACCAGAAGTAGTGCTGTGGCTCAAGTGGAAGAGCACTCACCTTGAGCTGAATTGCTCAGCATCAGCGTCCAGACCCAGAGTTCAAGCCCCATCACCACCACCACCAACAAAAAAGAATTAGTGCAGAGTATATAAAATAAAATAGGGTAGTTTTCATGACCTAAATCATCTAAAAAGGTCACTCTTATATGATTGACACTTTTATTCATTTTTGTTGGTGGTAGGACTTTCACTCAGGGCCTGGACGCTGTCCCTGAGCCTCTTTGTGCTCAAGGCTAACGCTCTACCACTTGGAAGTAAGAGTCTCACAGGGACTTTTCTGCTTGGGTTAGCTTCAAACCACGATCCTCAGATCTCAGCCTCCTGAGTAGCTTATAGGTATGAGCCACGGGCTCCCAGGTTATTAACAATTTTCTTATCAAATTATTCAACAAATTCTATATCCAGTTGTTCCCTTTCCTTTGACACACAGCATTCATTGTTTATACAATTTATTTTCCAGGCTCATTTGCATTCTGTGCTGGAGCAGCTTAGGTTACAAGAAAAGGAAAGGCAGAATCAGGTGAGAAGTACGTTTTCAAATAAGAATATATTTGCTGCAAAGAACCTTCTTCCAGTCTCATTTGTAGCTTTTCATCTCACAAGAATAAGGGTAGACAAATCTTCTGAATAGAATAGCAGAAAAGCACTGAATGTATAGTGAGGAGTGATATACAATACTTGTCCTTAGTAAAGAGCTAACAGTCTATCTGCAAAGATTGACAACAAACAAGTTATCATACAAACATGAATATACAAACTGTAAGAAAGTACTGTGAAGAAAAAGGAAGTCATTGTTTTTAGAATAGACTCATGAATTAAACCAATAGATCATGATAAACCTCTTGAGAGAGAGAGTGATATTTAAAGTCTACACCTCAAGTATACAGCCAGGCAGATAGTGGGATGAACAGCCATGTGAGTGGAGCATATTTAGTGTAACACACTGGGAATAAACTTGGTCTCACTGCAGAACTCAAATATTTAAAGCACAGAAGAGATTATCTTAAAAGGTTGGAAAAAGTAGGCACAAGTCATAGCATAGTAGTTCTTAGCAGGATATAAGGAAGTTGGCTTTTAGTCTTAAATGGGCTTAAAGAGGGCCTTAAAGAGTTCTTGCGTAGGAGAATCACATCTATTTAAACTTAAAAAAAATTACCTTAGGGCTGAGGGTGTACCTTACCTGGGACAATGCCTGTGCATGGCCCGGAGTTCAAATACCAGCACTGAAAAAACAAAAAACAGTTTGCTGGGCATGGTGGCTCCTGCCTGTGATCTTAGGAGGCTCCTGCCTGTGATCTTAGGAGGGTAAGGTTAGTAGCATTATGCTTTGAGGCCAGCCAAAGAGCAAGTTTATAAAGCCCAGTCTTAACCAATATTTGTGTGTGGTAAGGTCCATTTCTCATCCTCCCTATAATAGGTATCATAAAATGAGAGGATTGTGGTCTTATGGGTATAGGCCCAATATGTTCTGGCAAAAAAACAAGACCCTATTTTTTAAGTGCAAAAAATGGATGATGTGGTGCTGTTCTTTGGAATATTGTAAAACAAAGGTAACCTTATGAATGTCAAGTGACAATCATTCTTTTTAGTTCTTGTGAGGTAATGAAGTAATAAAACAAGTTTTTAGATGAATTGTTCATGTTTTTCTGGCTTTCCTTGCTTGCAGCTTTTTTTCCTTCAGGAACAATTGAGGTACTTTCAGAAGAAGTGAGAAGTGTTCATCATCTAATCTGAAGACAAGGTGAAACAGTGCATGTTTCTTCAGTTGCCTTATGATCAATCAGTTCCATTTGTTTCTTTTATATTTTTTGCTAGTTATAATATGTTCAAAGATTGTAGTAATGGAGATGAGGACAGTACACAAATGTAATAGCTTTAAAGATCCCATTCCACCATGAGACTTTACATATATTGCCTCTGTGCTATACTGCTTTTCAGATCATTCTTGCCTGTGTTTATCAGTGGCAGACAGTATATCCTAGAAAGTCATACAGCTGGTTTGTATCTTTTAAAACATTTTTAAAGATCTTTTATTTGTTTTACGTATTTCCTACACTTTGTTTCTGAACAAAGGAAAAAAGTCCATTCCTATCAAGGGCTATGACCTGCCACAATTTGAGTGCCTGTCTCTCTGCAGTTTATACTAGGTTGTGCCCCGCCTCTGTTCAGATAAAAGCTGCTATCCAATTTGAGATAACTTCTTGCTGTTTATCTGTATTCTGTTGTGTAATTCCAACTGTGACTGGTTGTTATTCATTAGCTAAAGAAATAGGGCAAAGTGAAGAAATTCTGAACTGTTCTTATTTTGAGCTAACCTGCATAAGATAAAGAATATAAAAATTAAAAAAAATATAAAGAAAATCCAAATGCCTGTCATGCCTATGAAAACTTGTTATAAAGCCCTGGGATGTTTTGGGGTGTTTCTAAAGTTACACTATTATGATTGTATGATGTGTTTTTAAGCAAAATAAAAAAATTAAAAATCCTTTTAAATTCTGTCAACTTTTGGGAGGGATGTTGGAAAGGTTTTGCACTTGCTAGGCAAGTTCTCTGCCACTAGCTAAATCCCCAGGCCCTAATTGCTATCCTGCTCTGATCTGCTCTTTTCTTTTCTTTTCCCTTTTACTGATCCTGGGACTTGAACCCAGGGCTTGGGTGCTGTCCCTGAGCCTCTTTGCACTCAAGGCTAGTATTCTACCACAGCACCAGGTGCCAGCTTTTTTGAGTAGTTTATTGGAGATATGAGTCTCACAGAGACTTTTCTACCTGGGCTGACTTCAAACCACAATCCTCAGATCTCAGCCTCCTGAGTAGCTAGGATTACAGACATGAGCCACCAGTGCCCGGCTGCTGTTATCTTCTTAAATATATTTAAACAAGAAACATACTCATACCACAAGTAGACAAGAGAAAGCTCTGTCTTGGTTCTTTCAGGCTGATGCAACAAAAATATAGCAGGGTAATTTATAAGCAATATGTTCATTGTTCATAGTTCTAGAGTTTGGGAAGTCCAAAATTAAGGCATCAGCCAATGCAATGTAGCCTAGAATGCCAGACAGCTTATTTGCATATGTCTGCTTCAAAGACACTGCTATCTTGGGCAACCTTACCATGACGAGAGGCAAACTCCAGCGTCTTATAAGGGTACTAAGTTCATTGAGTGACCCTAGACATCCTCCTAAGTTTCACCCATTAGGATCAGCACATTGCAGGTGATATTTTATGTGAATTAAGGGTAACATTTAAACCACAGCATTTTATGATTAGGAAATGACAAGGTGCATCTCCTTTCAAAGAAGAAGCATAAGTTCTAAAGAATGGGGAAAACCAAAGGATTCAGAGGAGTGATACAAATGGCAGCTCTGGTATTTGGATTGATTCACGATGGAATGAACAGTTCTGCCACTTCCCCTGGGCAAGCCCTATACCTCTTAGACACTCCTATTTCCACAGTAAGGGTGGTAATACACATCATCATGAAGCATCTAAGGGTTTTCTAGACATAGCCCAGCTAGCCGCAGATGTGGTCCTAACTGACAAAAAAGTACTGCTCTAGGAAATGTATTCTTGTTCTCAGTATGCTTCCCTCACTGCCCCAATCTGTATATAAAGGCATGTTTTACGTATGCTTCTGTCCCATCCCTCTGCTTTATCTAAAATGGCTTAGCTTTGTTTCCGACTCTGCCTCTTCTTCCACCTTCTGCTTCTGATATTAAATTCCCTTTCTAATTTTCTCCCTTTATTCTCAAGTTTTTAGCATTCTGGGTTTCTGAAAAAAGTGTGTTAATAATGAAGATTAACTCCAGGGCTTCACACATGGTAGACGAGCCCAAGACAAATGTCAGAACTGGAATTGCAACCACATACTCATTCTATTACATGGTAATTCAACCCAAACTTACTAAGGTGGCCTTCAGGAGTAAGCAAGGTAGAAGAACTCTCATAGAGCTCTGTCCAATATTGTAGCCTGAAAACAGCCAGAGCTCTGCTGAGATGCAGGGTGATGAGTTTGACAACTTGAGGGGGGAGTTAGAGTGTCTTCAGTGCCCTTCTGCCCCCTCTGTTGCCACTTCTCAATGTATCCCAGGGGATACATTCACTACTGCCCTTGTCATCAGCTTTGCTGCTTCCTCTCCACCCTACTTGAACACATGGGTGTGCATACAGATGTGTACACATACCTCATGAAGTTTTATAATAGCTCAATGATTCTGACTTTTGTCAGAATCAGAAGAAAGGCAATCTTGTGAGAAGTGACTACAACATGGTTCTTCATTTGCCTTCCTATCAAGGCTGGCTACCATGAAATAATTTCTCATTTGTTTCCCACATTTCCAAAGGGTATAGGCCTTTCTGTTAGGTGGGTTAGATATAAGCCATAAAACTGCTGCACTGGTGTGGTCTCAATTACTCAACTCCAGGTCATTCTATCAGTTGTGCTGCAAATGAGACAATGGACCTAGGGAGCTGAAATGATCACTAATTTTGCATTCTGTGTGTGTATGTGTGTGTGTGTGTTAGGACTGGGGCTTGAACCTAGGGCCTGGGCTCTACCTCTGGGCTTCTTGTGTTTAAGTCTAGTGCTCTACCTCCACTTTGGCTTTTTGGTAGTTTTTTTTTTTTTGGTCAGTCGTGGGGCTTGAACTCTGGGCCTGGGCGCTGTCCCTCAGCTCTTCAGCTCAAGGCAAGCGCTCTACCTCTTGAGCTACAGCGCCACTTCCGGTTTTCTGGTGGTTTATTGGAGATAGGAGTC